CAGAGATCCACCTGCTTCTGCCTCCCGAGTGCTGGGATTAAAGGCGTGCGCCACCAACGCCTGGCGATCACTGGGCTCTTATAGGAAGCAAACAGCAGGTAGAATGGGACCAGAAGACTACAGTGGGCTGCTAAGGGAAAAGTCCCATGGAGTTCAGAGAAATGACCCAGGATCAGTGTGTGGACTGCAGCCAGCCCTAGGAACCCAAGGGGCCCATTACTTGCTAGTAAACAGTTGGAGCACAGGCCTTAGGAAGAGAGGCCAGGATAGGGATCCAGCTGTGCTTAGGCCGCGATGGTCAGAATGGTTCAGAGAAGTGCCGCCCACCGTGACCTACCCATAGCAATCTAATGCAGGCAGAGCTTGGCTTATTTCCAGAGCAGAGTAGGTCTGAGGGAAACACAGACAAGAGTCAGATCAGTGTTACTTTCCTGATCCCCTTCCATGGCTCCACCTCAGGGCTACTTGGGATACTGCCAGTGGCACAGGCTGCCCTTTAGCTCCACTCTGAGGGGAGGGCAGGGGCTTCCCATCCAGGCCACTGTGAAATACCTCCCTGGCTGACTCTGATGGCCTGGGCACTATACTCCTCAACCCTGTCTGCTGTTGGTGTAGCCCAGTGCTGAGAGGGTGAGGTTGGGGATGGGCTCTCAGTGTTCAAGGGTCAGGTTTCCAGGGTAACCTGGCCCCTGAGCCCAGCTCTAAGTCTCAGAGATCCTGTAACTTGACTCTCTCTTCCTCCCCCTTCAGGGCCATACCTAAGCCTGGGTGTGGCCTGGGACATTAGCCCTGGGTAAGATAGGGTATAATATTGGGGGGGGGAGCTCCACAGGTAAGGGATGCCTCAACAGAAATGTACTTGGCTTTTCTGTCTCCAAGCCTCTCCCTTTCCCTCTGCACTCCTTCCCTTTGACCTATGTCGTACTTAGGCATCTGCCCTGGTTGCTCTGAGGAAGAAGCATGTCCTGAAGTGACTCCACTTGCCTTGAGCCTCACCTGTGGTTTACAGGCTATAGGGGTAACTCATCCGCCTTCTGGGACTGTTTGCCCACCAAGAATTTGATGCCTGGGCATGGGGTGGGATTTGGAAAGGCTTTCTAGACTCCAAGAGAAGGCCTTGAAGGCTGGGCCAGATGATGTGGGATTCAGGCAGAAGAAACAGCTTGTGCAGAAGCTCGACATCTGACAAAGCAGAGGGAGGTGTGTGTGATAGCAAATGAAGAGGGCAAAAGCCAGACAGACAAAGGCCTTGAGCGCCGCCGAGGCTGGCAGGAGCTGCTGGCCCCTCGCCAGGGAGATGCTGTTTATCCCTCCTGCTGTGGATCCCTGCCAGAGCGAATGGGGCCAGGTGCTTCTCGCCCTAGGGACTCTCCTCCACCCTCAGGAAGCTCCCCTCAGGGTCCGAATCACCCCTGCTTTCCTCATATCTGGCCCAGCTGCTGCCAGCTTTGGAGTATAGCTGAGGGTCCAACAGTTCTCCTTAGGGTGGCATGCAGACCCTTCTAGGTGATCCAAGCCTAGCACAGGCCATTTGTGGTCAGGGCTCCTGCTGTGGACTGGTTGAACAACCCCTGCTCTAACTAGTCAATTTCATCTGTTGATCTGAGCATGGGGGTGGACTGGGCTCTGGGTGGGAGTGAGGTAGAAAGAGCCCTTAGGGCTAGAGTCTAGGGAATCTGGTTATACCCATAGAGCCTTAAGGATGGGGTTGTCTGTCGTCTCATCCTTGGAGGGAGCCAGTGGATGCAGATGTTTTGGTCTGAGGCTGTTCCAACCTGTGCTTAGGACTGCTCCCTAGGACTGGGAGGTGATCATGCCCCCTCCCCACCTTGGATACACTAAAGGATGAGATAACTGGGTGGGGAGAGTACTGAGAGTGCTAATCGTGCTGGGGGCTTTTCAACCCCATGCTGAGCATCTGTGTAACTTCACATGAACTGTAATGTGCCCCCTAGTTGGAGTATGGCAGGGGGTCCTCTTTCTCTGTGGTGTTGGACAGAGAGATGATGACATGCTGTAGGACTGGGTCTGCAGGAGGCTGGCTGTACCCTGGTGTTAGCCTGTGTGTGTCAACCCCCTACTCCCCACCAGGTGACGTGGTGGACATTTACCAGAGGGAGTTTCTGGCACTGCGAGACCGTTTGCACGCTGCTGAGCAGGAGAGCCTGAAGCGCTCTAAGGAGCTAAACCTGGTGCTGGACGAAATCAAGAGGGCAGTGTCCGAGAGGCAGGCGCTGCGGGACGGAGAGGGCAATCGCACTTGCGGCCGCCTTACTGGTGAGCTCCAGCGGGATGGGGTGTATGGAGGTCTGCAGTCATAGCTGTTTTCAGGCCCAGCAAAATCTAACCTGTCCCTTCCCCAACCACCCAGAGGATCCGCGACTGAAGCCGTGGAACGTCTCGCACAGGCACGTGCTTCATCTGCCCACCGTCTTCCACCATCTGCCGCACCTGCTGGCCAAGGAGAGCAGTCTGCAACCCGCAGTGCGGGTGGGCCAGGGCCGCACCGGAGGTATGGGCGTGGCCCGGGAGGGGCGAGAGGCGGGCAGAAAGGCTGTCCCCGGAGCCCTGTCCAGTGTCACCCCTCCGCGCCCCTGCAGTGTCCGTGGTGATGGGCATTCCAAGCGTGAGGCGCGAGGTGCACTCGTACCTGACTGACACATTGCACTCGCTCATCTCGGAGCTGAGCCCGCAGGAGAAGGAAGACTCAGTCATCGTGGTGCTGATCGCCGAGGCGAGTGGCCCTGGACCTGGGGACAGGAACATGGAGGGGAAGACACCCAGTAACAATCCACCAAAAAGAGGAATACAAACAACGGCAAGGGGGCGGGGAGGGGGCAGGGACACAATCAGAATTGCAGTTATTAATTTCATTCACAAATGTATCAAAACAAAAAGTTAAAAAGAAAGATGAATCTTTGCGCCCCCTTGTGGACACACTAGTTACAGGTCCCTTCACCCCCCCACACTTCTGGGTATCTCAAAAGCTGTTTTCTGAGGTAACTGTGACCACAGCCAGGCTCAGCCCCACCATCTCTCAGGACAGGAAGTCACTCACTCCTATAATTGGGGACATCTGAAGCCCACACTCCTGTCCCTCCCCCTTCCAGACCATTTGGGGTGGTAGCTAAGCTTAAGTGTCTTCCCACAGACGGACCCACAGTACACCTCGGCAGTGACAGAAAACATCAAGGCCTTGTGAGTACCAGCAACCAGGAAACGTTGCTGGAGGGAGAGCAGCCAGATGCTGCTCCCATAAGAGGAGATCTGCCTTGTGTGGGGAGGGGCTTCCCTCCTCTGTTAAAAGTGTGTGAGGGCCGGGCCGTAGTCTTTCTAGAACCCCAGTGCCTCAGGAGGCTAGTGAGGGAGGGACGTTTGTTAGTGAGCTTCCTGAGGCTGGGAGGGTCTGGAGAGCTCCCAACCCTCTTCTGCCCCTGGAGGCTGCACACCCACTGAGCCCTCCCCCACCTAGGTTCCCCACAGAGATCCATTCTGGGCTCCTGGAAGTCATCTCCCCTTCCCCTCACTTCTACCCTGACTTCTCCCGCCTTCGAGAGTCCTTCGGGGACCCCAAGGAGAGAGTCAGGTACTTATACCCGGTACCCCCAGCAGTTTGTTGTTGCTCGGTCACTGTCAATGTTTCTTTGGACCCTGTCTGGTGGGCGGGGTGGGCCCTGCCTGCCTCAGTGGCTTCTCTGTGGCAGTCCACTGGAGGTGGCATTGTCTCTGATCTGAGACCCCTCCCTGGGCCCCACAGGTGGAGGACCAAACAGAACCTGGATTACTGCTTCCTCATGATGTATGCACAGTCCAAAGGCATCTACTATGTGCAGGTCAGCTGGAAGCTTTTCTCCTGCCCTCCCCAGACCCTTGTTGACCTTGTCCTTGCCTATTCTGCACATGGTCACACTTGGGTGAGGGACCCCACTTCTGTCCTGTGTCAGTCCTGAGTCCCTGGCCTCTACTGTTCCTCCCTGTGCAGCTGGAGGATGACATTGTAGCCAAGCCCAACTACTTGAGCACTATGAAGAACTTTGCCCTCCAGCAGCCCTCTGAGGACTGGATGATCCTGGAGTTCTCCCAGCTGGGCTTCATCGGTAGCTGGTCCTACTAGCCAGATGACAGCTCTTCAGTCCTACCTGTGCCCTCCCAACTACCATCTCTCAGCCCCAGTTCCTTGCTAGTGAGCCTTGCTGAAGTACCCTTTGTATGAGGATGTCCCGGGGTCCCCAGCCCTACCTTCTTGGACCCACACCTGCCCAGAGTCTGCCCATAAGGTTTACTGTGAGAAGCTCAACATTGTCCCCCCCGGGGATGAAGAAATAGGGTTTAGCAGTTCTTTCCAGTCAGAGCCCTTTTCCCTGACTTCCTCCCTCAGGGAAGATGTTCAAGTCATTGGACCTGAGCCTGATTGTGGAATTCATCCTTATGTTCTACCGAGACAAGCCTATTGACTGGCTCCTGGACCACATCCTGTGGGTGAAAGTCTGCAACCCTGAGAAAGATGCGGTGAGCAGTGAATGTTTGGAACCAGCACAGAGAAGGCAGGCTATTAGCTGCCAGCTCACACTGTGTTCCTGGCCATGTCTTGATGGCAAGGAAAGGACTCTACTGGCTGAGGAAATCCCCTGGATATCCTAAGGAAAGGCCCCATCTTTGGAGTCTGGGCTGAGCTGAAGCCTAACGTGTTACTCTCTGTTCACAGAAACATTGTGACCGGCAGAAGGCCAACCTTCGGATCCGCTTCAAGCCGTCCCTCTTCCAGCATGTGGGCACTCACTCCTCACTGGCGGGCAAGATCCAGAAACTGAAGGTGGGGTATGCCACAGAGTTTGGACAGAGCATGGTGGAAACAGGACTGGGGGATGGCACTGATGTCTGCTCTTCCTCTCTAGGATAAGGATTTTGGAAAGCATGCTCTCCGGAAGGAGCATGTGAACCCCCCAGCGGAGGTGAGCACAAGCCTCAAGACGTACCAGCATTTCACCCTGGAGAAGGCCTACTTGCGAGAGGATTTCTTCTGGGCCTTTACACCTGCAGCAGGAGACTTCATCCGCTTCCGCTTCTTCCAGCCACTGCGCCTTGAGCGGTCAGTACTCCCTGGGGAAGGGAACAGTGTGAACACCAATTAGAGGCCTCAGCATATATTTCTGGGTCTTTAGGTACCCCTTCGAGAATCTCTCGTGACCCCTCAGTTTCCTTTCTGAAAAGCACTACCCATACTCATACTTGTGAGGACTAAGGCAGGAAGATCTTTAGGTACTCAGTGACAGCCATCACCACAGCCTCAATGTCAGGCCCTGGCTGCCTTGCACAGCCACAGACTGTCCAAGATGGTGCCCAGCCTCCCCTGTCACCTGGAGGCACCAGGCAAGGCCTCTCTGCTGGGCCTGCGCAGTGTGCCTGGGTAGTTCCTCACCTTTACCACAGCTCACCAGCCTGCTTGGCCCCTGTAGGTTCTTCTTCCGCAGTGGGAACATTGAGCACCCAGAAGATAAACTCTTCAACACTTCTGTGGAGGTGTTGCCTTTTGACGTGAGTGTGGCAGGTATGGGTGAGAGTTGAGGCTGCCTCCTTCTGGCCTGCTACTCAAGTCCTGCTGCTTTGCCCACAGAATCCCCAGTCAGAGAAGGAGGCCCTTCAAGAGGGCCGCTCAGCCACTCTACGGTACCCTAGGAGCCCTGATGGTTACCTCCAGATCGGTGAGTAGGGCAGGGCCTGTGTGGGCTGGGCTATTGGATGTGGCTTTTGTTTTTACCTCTAGGTACTGCCCTCCCACAGGCTCCTTCTACAAGGATGGAACCAAAGGGGAAGTGGATCCTGCCTTTGGGCCCCTGGAAGCACTGCGCCTCTCCATCCAGACGGACTCCCCAGTGTGGGTCATCTTGAGTGAGGTGAGATCGCCTAGGTGCAGGGACGGGACCAGCCTGCTAGACCATAAGAAGCCTCAGGGCACCTGCTTATCCTGAGCCTGACTCTTGCAGATCTTTCTGAAAAAGGCTGACTAAATGGAAGGCTTCCA